ATTGAGATTGATCCTCACGCAGGCCTGGACAATACTTAAAACAGTCCTCTAAACTAGTAGACCTCCTGGACTCGATCAATACAAGAGTGTCACATGGCTTACCTCGAACTCAGAGGCCAACCACTAGGACGACCACCCATGAACGGAACTTTAGAAGACTGTTTTGAGTATTATCTAGGCCTACGTGAGGATCAATCTCGATCCGTTTTCCAGCTTTCAGGCTCTGAAGAAGGCGAAGAGGCCGAAACGTAAGCTGGATAAAGATGTGTATCTCGGGAAAGGCTTAGAACAGCTCCAAAGACAGGTTCAGCTATGCCGAGATTAAGAGAAAGTCGGACATGGTCCATACGACCTCCAATTCCCGGTGGTCTTCCCCAACTCAAATTTGGTACCACCCAATGCCACTGGATGAATAGGGCGGAAGAAATAAGCACAAAATCACACAATCAGGCCTTTCTTTGAAGACAAATCATAACTTTGAGATCGGTTATTGAAGAGGCATCTAAGTGCAAGTTGCATTGGTCCACTTCACTGATTAAAAATGCCTAGTGATAGTTTTGTTGGTATCTTACATCTACCAGAAACGAGGGACATCGGGACATCAATTAGTCGAAGCGACAGACAAATGAACATACCGGCTGGTCATTATTTACCGGTACAGCAAACGGTACGTCCAGCAGCAATTATCAAGAATAACTGCGTCCCTAACCCTACCGAAAAGTCCCTACCGAGAAATTACTCGAAAACTTACTGCTTAAAAAACAATGATTGTTAAAAGGTCACAAGGAAATTAGGGAGTCCCAAACGAAAAAAAGATCAAATATATCTTAAACGAACAACTAAACCTACAAGATTTGAGGTTGAAGACAGTGAAAACACCTAGTATTACATTTTCTGCGAAGGAGTTTACTATCAAGTACGATAAAGTTCTTGGTAGGTCTAGAACGGAGAAAATGAAGGTAAAGAATGTGAAATAATGAAGAAACATCAGCAGAGCTTAGAATTCTGACCATCGTCAATCGATACATCGTCAAGTCAAATGTGTGTGGGAGTAGCGAGTGAAGACATCGAAAATGCATAGCAATAGCGCCACCGCAACCAATGGACCGGCTTATGGAGCCAATCCAGTAGAATCGCCCCAAAAAATTCTAACCGCTTGAGTTAACTACTGATGACACCATTTCTGCATTTCTGAGTGCTCCTGGGGGTTAGGCAGCGGGTGCACTAGGGTTGCCTTGTAGCAGTATCTTTCCCTCAGCTCAGCGAATGTGTTCAGTGAGACTTTGTTGGGCTCTCTGAAGAATGAATCGTGGTCGTCTAAACCAAATACTATTTCCCTCTCATAGTGTACATAACATGCCTTTTTTAACAAACCGACCACATTCCACACTCGATATAAGGATGTCTACGGGTGCTGAGAGCACCCTTTACCCCTCCCCACGTCTGCTCAACCCAAAGAGCACCCATTCCCTATTTGCAAGAAAGTGATTCGCATAATAAAAAAGTAACCTATGAAGTTCGTGGAGGTAACTGCTCTTCCCATGTTTAACAACTACTCATAACGACTGCACGAAACAGTAATTTCGTTGGTCAGATAACTCGAAAGACGAGCTCTATGAAGCTCCTATACGCCCTGAAAAAGGAAATTCTGACGTTCTAAAGCAGTTCCCCATAAAATTTAGTCAAATCGCGAATTGTATTATTTACCTGCGCTTCCCATTGAAATCCCGGAACGTCTCACCTATGAGCAGTTGACACACAGTCTCATCATTAACTTTGGGCAGCCGAATGGAGCGAATGCACGTCCCTGAAGTTCCTTGCGACCCGCACTTAAGGTGTGCTTAAGCTGAAGTGCTGAAGTTAGGATTAAGATAGAAGATCCTAATCGCTTGTACATTGTAGGCAAGCCGAGAGAATCGAACGGAACTGTTTTATTCAAGGACTAGGCAAGTACCTGTTTCGATCGGTATTGCGCCCAAAGCCAAGCGTGCGATAAAAGCATAAGATCTGCAACACAAAACTGAAAGAATTCTTCAGCGAATAGTTTTGTGCATCTGAATTCGCAGAGAAAAAAAAGATAGTAATGGACTACTTCCTCAGTCTGAAATGTGTACCGGGACATGAGCGGTAAAAAGGAATTTCGTCTACCTGAACCCCTCTTTACGCTCAAGAAGTGAGTAAGACTTTAATAATGACTTCCTTTGAAGGTAACTGCTCACCGCTAACTCGACCCTGTCCCTTTTCCTCAGACAGGTATCAAATTGTTGCCACACGCCCTTTTAATATCAGCTTAATCTAGAAAAAGCCACGAACTCAAAGTACTATTGGATTATTCAATCCATTTTACATAAACAAGGCAAGCGTGACCTAGAAAGATAAATTTCATAACAGGATAGGATTTGCTGCTTTATTTTTCGATAACCACTAAAACATTCAACATTTTAACTAGAAACTCTCCAACAGCAACTGTAACAGAATATGAAACGCAACCATTCCAGCGAAACAACTCACGAATTTGAACAGTATGCCCAACGAAAACAGGGTAACAGACAGACCCACAAATGAAACAGCTAACAATCCTTACATATACATTTTCTAATGTTCCTAAATCAACAAAAAACAAGGATACAACTCGCAAAAGCGAGTAGATTCAACGTAAGCATTTTGTATCAATCAGACTAGTACTACTGAGCAGACAATTACTTCAAAAAAAANAAAAAAAATCAGTAAGAGTTCATATCTATAGGACTATCGAGGTGTCTTAAACCTGGACTGGATGAATATATTGTAAACATAGAAGACTGGTTACCACACTGTGAGAATCCTGACGGATGATTATCACTATATGAACCTGAAAAACAAATCTATTAATGGTACAGCATTCACTTCGATCCAACTTCACTTCGTTTTAAGGTTCGCCGCAAGCAGATTCCTTCATTTGCTTGCTAAGTACTTCGTGAAATATATGCACCATTTAAGTTGATTTTCCAAGCGTTTTAAATTCTACAACCCTACTATCATCCCTCTGAATCTAACATTCCTCACTGATCACAACTTTCCACTCCTGACGCTTCTCCAAAAAGTAAAGGAACGAAAGATGTCTCCTATAATGGAGCTTACTCGATCATGAAGACTGAAGAGATCTTGAACTACAAACTACCATTTACTTTATACGTTGAGGTACTGGTCCTTTTAAAAAACGACCTGTCCCACATCAACGTCGGACAAAAATCCCCATGCAAAGAGATCGGAAATTTTTATTCTAATAAAATAATGTCGTAGATTGATCCTTACAACATATTTCCCATCATCCGATGGATCATTGAAGATTGTAACAAAAGTTACAATTCGTACGAGTTTCTCCGTGGGCTCAACGATAATACACCAATTCTGCTGCACCAAAAAATGAATGTGCGCTGAGCAAATTCATTTCCCCTTTCTTACCTTTTTTTCGAGCATGTTTCGACGGAAAGGCGTAAAAATAAAGTGGGTCTTGATATTGTCAGAAAGAGCAAGCCCATGAGAGCACGTCAAAAAGAATGAAGTAGGAATACCTATGATCATATTATCCTCTTCGAGGTAATCCATGTTATCTTCATTGAACGAAGAGCTGATTTGAGAATTCCGCAAGACTGATGACACCTCTGACTTGTCCTCAGCCAGGGGAGAGAAGCGTCGCGTCTGTGCGCAGATTAATACACTTGAGCTGCAATAGCAAACATTTTTGGTCAAAGCGCAGCGTCATCCTAACCGAATCGTCCCCTCCAGGAAAAAATACATAGTGGCTTGTAAAAAAGCTACTGTAAGCGCGTAACCTTTTGAGCTTGAAACTGTCGAATGGAAACATGGGCTCAAACGGTAGTTTCGTGCCAGCGTCGAACGGCAGTAAATGGTTACAGTAAACCAATTGCAACGATCTGTAATGGTAGACTCACTGAGCAATAAGCAGTGCAATATGCAATTCAAAGTTTTTACAAGTTGAGAGGAGTAAAATGACCGGCGTTGTATGTTTTTTGAGACTAACCTAGTGATGGCGCCAAAACACAATCCAACAGGCCTAACAACGTATTTCAATGGATCCAGCGGTGAATGCACTATGCGTCCAAGTCCCCATCTCCCAACTTCTTCAATATCTAAAAACGAATCGTTCATTAAATGGAAGAAAAGGTGCACAACAAGTAGATACAAAACGAAATGAGCAAAAGTTCAGCTATGTTCATTGTTCAGCGACAAAGCATGTATATAGCGATTCGTATATTGAGCTAACATTCCCATCTATCGGATGTGTTTCCTAGTGTAATCGATAATAAATATTTCTTAGTCATAAGAGCTATTGGATCCAGTTTCGTTAATTCTCAGAAATCCATCTAAGAACGACTGAATGGGGCCCCCTTTAGCCAAAAATGGTGAGCGAGCAATACTTGCTAAAAAGAACAACAGGGGACCTACCTCCGCTTTTAACCATTTCTTTATACCGAAACGAGAAAATTATGAAAAATGCTTGACACAATGCGTAAAATACTCCATGCCGTATGACACCGGGCATAATCTGAAATCGAACGAAAAATTTGAAAAATCACTTGTATTGCTCAAACACCATTTCACCTGTTTGTTAGTTATTCCACAATTATCAAGATATTGTATGCACCAGCTAGCAATGCGGGACATCCATGTCACCGCCACTCTGAAGAAAAGACAAGACTGTTTCCGCAGACTGCACATACGGGTACTTAAAAAATGGTGTGCATGAAAAAACACCCTTACCGAAGGTCAAGATATTTGGCTCTAGCTAAGAAGGCGGCTAGATAAGCAGCAGCGCCATGTCCTTTGGCTATATCTGACTGGTTAGTTTGTGGTCGTACAATAATGGACCATAAAAAATCCAGCGTCCGCGTAGCGTATTTCTAGACAAAGTACTGTTTAAGATAAAATTCGGTGTTCAAAAATAATACTGTTATGAAATTGTCGACCCACCTCGTCAAGACTGCATATGTAAAGCCAAATAAATGACGTATAGCGGACATGTACGGATAACAGCATACGGTTCTCCAAAAGTGACAGAAGTATAGAGAACACTTCCTCCTTTTTAGCTTCATTACCGAGATGGAGCCATTTTGTATCTGAATCCAAAAACTTTTACGAAATAATAAACTAGTGAAACTGAATACTAAACCATTCGGTACAATTCTTAAAAAACAAACGAGAAAACGAAGTTTAACGAATAACAGACCACCCAGCGCAGAGCAATCGACATTATGTTTCATTGCTATGTAACATAACACATCTCGCATAACGCCATCAAGTTTCGTTGTCATCTCGCTCTCTTCACTACCATCTTCTTGTTCACGGTCCTCATCCTTAATCTCAAATTTGACATTCCACTCCCTCTCAAATGATTACAAATGATTTTACCATATCAAAAATAGCAGTATCCGCTGTACAATTCTTGTCATACCGATAATCAGACTTGGCTAACATATTCTGCAATATAAAAAATGATTGTTGCGACAATTCGATAAAAAGGAGTTAAAACGCTTGAATTAAATCATAACAATAAACACCCTAAAAGAAGTTCCAATAAAGAAGAACTGTTGCAGGGATGTTTCATCCTATCAAAGACGACGCCCACAGGCTATAGATACAGGGTGTCATCTTCGAGAAATTAAGAAACCCCAAAAAGGGTTTGGTCTGAATACTACTGCTATGGAATGTTTTCAGTTGACGATTAAGGATGTGATGATGAGGAAGAAGAAGAAATTGACGTGATGAGTGTTTGTTACAATAAACTGTCTATTATCGAGACATTACATTGTGCAGCTCGAATTCCTTCAAATTTAACGAAGGACTATCCAGACAGCGTTGCAGAGAGCGAAACAGACGAACGTCATTCTGAAGAATATGCTAGGCCAGGAAAATGTTTCCGCAACTTTTTGTTAAAGGTGAAAATTGCCAAGCAAGACTATAGATTTGGTCAATACAAGGCTTAAAGATAGCAGGTGTTATTTATAAGGAAAAACACAAGATAAAAAACACAGAAAAAAAATGGAATGTTGCTGCTAAAAAATAAATGCAGAGACTGAAAAAACGAGAAGTGTGAGTAGAAGTATGGAAGAGATTACAAAGCTGCTGAATCAACTTGACTTCTTTAGCTCGCTTGCAATGAGTATATATTCAAGACCGATTCCTTGTTATAACATCACTGAAGATCATATCGAACTCACATCACACATGATCATTTGGTCTATTATGAGATCCCACACATCGGCACGAATTTTGCCAACGTACTCGAGACTCCGGACCAAATTTCTCATGTAACCGATAAAACGCCAACTATCATTGCTATGATGTGGAACACCGACACGCAGCGCCTTCAGAAGGATTTGGTTAGACCTAGAACACCAATCATTACTGTACACATAGAAATCCTTATTATGGTAAGCATTCTATTGAAGTGTTTTTTCAAAGTTAAAAGAGTGGAAAATTTACAGAAACTGNCAATCCCTTGTTAGCAAAATCGTAGTTATGTTATTCACAGATCTTTGCTCGAAAACTTTATGCATGAAGACGAAAAGTCACATCGTTTTGAGCTTCATCGTCCCCTCTTATTGAAATCTAGCGTGTTTAGAAATCGTTACATCGACGGGTTATGTCCGGATCGCACTATAGAGAAGAATGGTTATATTACAAGACCCAAATTCTCACAAGCACCTCGAAGGTCGTACAGCAACTATGCACGTTAAACTGAAGCCGAAACTGTGAAACTTCAAAAGGCATACTGATCATAGCCAATAGATTAACTACAACAAATCGCGATACATGGAAGTGTCTCACAATTTAAAAATCTAGCTCACGACTTCAAATCAAAAAGAAAAGGATGAACTTACATAGGAAAACATTTCAGAATCTGTGAAATAACCCGATGAGCCATGGCATAGTACTTGTCTTGCTCTTCCTCTGACAACGCGAGCTCTGCAGTTTTATTTTGCTCTGGAATACTATGCATCATCTCATGGTGATTCGATTTTGATAAAATATGTCTGATGAGAAAACAAATACAACTAGTTACACCCTCACTACCCGTTACCCACTGCGTCTCAGCTGGCGTATGACCGCCCAATCCCTACACAGGTAAATTTATATATTCATACAAATATATTCATCTTTACGAATCCATACATGTTTATGTGTGCGCAGTATAAAGTGCATGGTATGGGCGCATGTGTACGTATACGAGTCATAAAATAAGGGAACAAAAATAATAAGAAATAATCACCGTCAAATTTGACCACTGGAATCAAATTGTTGACTACGCCACAATAAATCACTTCGGTGTGAAATACCTGAAGTAAAATTACATGTAGAAAAATTCAAAAATATCGAGGAACGTTGGAATCTCGAAAGCATCACCTGTCGAATGGCCACATCGCACAGCATGCTCAAATACCGATTCATCACACTTTCAGGTATTGCTTGCCAACTCAACCGCTAAAATATGAAATTAGATAGCACCAAAAGAAGTATTTCCTAAGAGAAACTTAAAGTTTAAGGGTAGGATAATTGACGAACAATTACTTCATGAGATTTGCCTACACAAGAAAACGTTCTGAGATGCTATGAACAACGGCCTTATGACTGTCTTGAAAGTGACAAAGGTGTGGGATTCATGAAAGNTTGAATAGGAAGATCTTTTTTGAAGTCTGCAAGCTCCACTGCCTGATTTTCATCTTCTTTTTCTTCATTGCATGTAATTATCGCCTATTTTTAAGACGGATGTGAAGTAGTGGTAAACGGCTTACCATGGACCAATACTCGCCAGACCGAAAACCCTTCCATCCTAACACGGCCGCTTAATTGGAAATCGTAGAGGATAAAAGCGCAGATTTGAAAATCGGCTGGCCAGCGCATGTCACCATATAGACCAAAGGAGCATTCAAAGCGCCGCTATCCTGAATGGAAGGCGACTGTGGGGGCGTGTCCCATAAACGGGATTGATTAACGCCAAAGACTTTCTCTTGTAGAATAGTTTCTCTTCCGATCATTCTGCATTATTACTCTGGTATTACTGCCCATTAGGTGATGTTCATATTACCTTAATTCTACGTGGAACGATCGCTTGTTGCCAGTGTTGATCACTATTGCAAGAAAGTCTACCGTCATCAACATCTACAACCTCGCACCATTTTCCTACATTACTTTATAGTCTAGAATCTCCCTGGTAGAACCGCAGTAAACAGTTGAGAAGACCTCAAAACATACCCTAAGGAAAAACGAGGAACTCACAGCAAGATTTGTAACAAGTCCTGCACAGCGACTGTCCAGCAGATCGCTCACATTGAGAAACTGCTCCAAGAACTGAACTTTTGCAGCCGGCTCCCATTTTGGAAGGACTTCAAACGCATTACAGATTTTACGATATGTTATGAGTGCTACAGGGTCTCCCTGAAAGAGCGCAATGTTTTTCTGAATTAAAGCGCATAAGAAGAAATTGTTACTGAGATTTTCTCTCGACCAACCCACCTGGAAGTATTGCTTCAAAATATCTCGCCCCGTGACAACTCGCTTAGGTTTCGTCTCTGTATTAGATTCGATGTCCTTCGATATACTTTCTTTCGAAGAGCCTTCATGAATGGTAGGATTAGATGTAGACGTCATTATGGCTTCCTAATAGTTCCCTATCGCGGTATGCAACTTATTATTCCTAAAACAAGTGATTAACGATGTGAATTAGAAAAAAAGGTGTATGACTCACACAATTCAAAATGGTTATTAGCGATGCTTCTCCTTTGGAAACACGCTAGAATCCTTATTGGTTATGCTGTGAACATGCTAACCCAAGCCCTGAAATAGAACTTGAAGGTAGTCGACAACCGTTTTGTTTACTTAACAGAGAATATAGAAGTCGAAGATCTTCCAGGTGAAGGCTTACTCGACTGTGCTATACTGTGGCCGCTTAACTGATAAAAAGGGTTTAGCGAACCATAGCAAAGCGTAACAAACTCTACGAGCTACTTTTTATGTACCACTTCAATCGTAACCTTAGTGTTTCCACACAGTAGTCCGCAAAGTTGCCTACAATTTAGATTTCAAATGGAATATTCCACTATTGCGCCTATTCAGGCTTAGGTAAGTGAACCTTGTGGAAAGGAAAATATCAGCAAATTTTTTGAATGAAAACCTTCAAGCCAGCAATAGATAGAATAAAGAAAGCCGAACAAACAGTTGCAATAAGCAAACGAGGAACACGTTTACGTAAAGTTGCGCAATTACGTGCAATTGCGTACCGCAAAAACTACCGTTACCCCTCTTTAGCTTTATTCACAAACTCGTCTACTGCCTTATGCTCAGGGTTTGTGTGGTGATAACGGTCCAGTATAGGTCTCTTCACGTTTGCTCGCACGTCTGACCCTCTGATGATGATGAAGAGGAGGGTTGCGCCTGGAGCCCAACTGCCAAGAAATTGGTTCTCTTTACAGTTCAAGAAGTATAGATCAAGTCCTCTTCTTGACTGAAGAACAGATCTGTGGAAGTTTTTGGTTGCGTTGAGATTACAAACAGGAAGTTTTTCTAGTCGTGGTTGGTAGTGCTAAAATAATGGGTGGGTTGAGTAAAGCGTCGCATTCAACCCTGGTCTCTGCCTATCGACCTATCCCTCTCTCCAGCAGGGGTTCTCCAAGCACGTGCCTCCTCGTCTAAACCTATTTGAACCGCATCAGCTGGAAGCCCTGGTTAGTGGTAGGACACTAACCAAAATCCTTTACCGCCGGTGATTACACCTGACTTCCTTGACGGTTTCGCAGTTGCGATTCTGCCTTGCCTCCGGTTAAAGCTCTGCAGTGCTTGTAGCAGACCCCCGGCAGGTAGAGTATGTTCTTCTCGATTGATTCACCCGGTTAGAGAATAATCAGAATGCCCGACAAGGAAGCGATTGCAGCTATACATTACAGCACTACAGTGCTCATTTTCAGGATGGTCAACTCTTCAAGTAAATCTTCCATTGGAAGCACCTGAACTTGTCACATGTAATGTTTCGGACCTTCTTTTCGCTTATCATACCTCTTTAGGTGTTTAGATTGAAATTCATGTATGCTTATGAATAAGACTGTAATGAAACAGATTTATCGAATAAAAATATGATGTGAAAACGCTAAAAAATGAGCAACGGTAACCGATGCAAGTCCTTGTCGAAAAATCTCCCAACATTCCACATTTTCCTCATATTCAAAAACTTTTTAAAACCATTTTTTGTATGGCGAGTTGTAGAGCAAAACACCGGCACAATTGTAAAAGGCAAGTGCAAATGGAATGAAAAGTACAGAGATCAGTAAAGTTTCAGATCAGAGGTAAACGTTGTGACTTCCATCTAATTAGTGAGCGAAATACTTCTGGATGCAGAAGACGAGATCCATTAGTTGGATGTATTCGTCGGATCCATCCATAAGACGTGCCTCGATAACCTACAATGATAGAATGCTTTCAACAAGAAGAAATTGACCTTCTGGAAAGTTGAATCCTGAAGGTCAGAATAAATTCATTTCAACTCATAATATAGATCTTGGTTGAATAGAAAAAAGGTCTACGTGTCGTCTTGAGTACGAGGTTTTTGTCAAATGAAAGGCATGTCCAAGATATCATCCAGAAATGCAGGTAGGTAATATCAGTTCAAACAAGTAGCGCTGCTGATCACCCACGCTTTAATGTCACTTATTTCTACGGCAAAATCGCTACTACCAAAGGAGTTGCTGCCACGAAACCGACGTCTACAGCTTTGCTTCACTCGGTTTTAGACCCCCCC